CCCGCCCACCTACCTCCGCTGGGAGGGAGAATTTGTTGAACTTCATCATCCGGTACATGTACTCTGGGGGAGAGAGAGTGTCACCACCAGGCACCCAGAGGCGTGGCCCCCACCGCAGTCCCCACTGTTGCTGTCTCTAACTGGCCTCACCGTCATGGCCCCAGGACATGAGGACGTTCTCGAGCCCACAGTGGGGCTGGTACATGCCAAGCTCTGTGCTGCAGGGAGAGACAGAGGGTGAGGGGGGCTCAGAAACACCCTGCAGAGGGGAGGGCCAACGGCAAGGGAAGCCTACCTGTACAGAGGGTCCTGGAGATCAGGGTTGTCCTGGAAGGTAGAGTCCCAGAAAAGCACAGAGCTTTGGGGACGGCAGCCAACTGGGAAGGTGTCTCCAACGACTGCCCACTGGGGAGAGACAGGCAGCGGTGGGTGCGCCTGACTGGCCTGCCCAAGTGGGTGTCCAGAGCCCAGAGCCGAGGCTGCCCTGGGCCCCGCCCTGCCCACCCCCTCCACCCCTCTCCTCACCTGGGGCTCCCCTGCCAGAGCCAGGACCTTCCCCAGGTCGTGCAGGAGCCCGGCGAGGTGGAACCAGTCTGGGGGAGAGAGAGGGGCAGGGCAGGCTAGAGGGGGTGCAGGGGCCAGGGCAGAGGGACAGCCTTGGGGCTGGGGTCGGGGGCAGGGCCTGCTGGGAGAGGGCCGGACCTCCACCCTCCCCCACCACCAGCCGGGGCGGGTGGGGAGCACACCCTTGTCAGGATGGGCCTTCCGGATGCCCTCGGCCGTCTGGAAGGCGTGGAAGGAGTTGGGGAAGTCCACGTCGGGGTCCGACTCATCCACCAGCGCATCCAGCATGTCCACAGCCTCCATGACAGTCATTCTCTTATAGGAGAAGCTCCCAAACTGGGCATGCTGGGCCAGTAAGGGAGAGGTCAGCGTAGCCCCAGGGTCGGCCCTCGGGGGGTTCGGGTTAGGAGTCTTCCAGCTACCTTCCTCCTGACGAAGTCCACGGTCTGCCACGTGTGCATAAGCTTGTAGGTGGTGAAGACACGGTCCAGGAGAGGGCCAGACTGCAAGGCAGAGGGTCAGCCAGGCAGCTCGCCAACCCCTGCCCTTCACACCCATGGGGCCACTGCCTCCTTCTCCCAGGCTTGGCCCCGCGACATGTGAACGGGGTATCCCCAGGGTGGCCCCTGGAGCTGTGCAAGGGGACAGGGGCGCTGCCCTTCCCAGGGGTGGGAGAGGCAGGGGCGCAGTGGGGGGCAGCCGCAGGTGCTCACCGTGTAGTTTCGGAAGCTGCCCTTGTCTTTGGCCACCTCTGGCTCCATATCAGGCCGGTAGACCAGGGAAGGGTCCGGGTCCTGGTTGGGTGGGGGAGTGAACCCATTTCACCACAATGCCAGCTCCGTGAGGGAGTGAGGACATCCCCAAGGGGGCACGAGACTGTCAGAGGCGGAGCAGCCGCGATGCAGTGGGTGCCCCAGGGCACAGCCCCTCCCAGCACAGGCGTGGTGGGTACTCCAGGCTCCTGGTGTCCTTATCTGCAGGGTGGATGCCGAGGATGCCTGCTTCCCCAGTGATGCACGGCTCTGGCAGCACCCCTACCCGGCATCTCCTTCTCAAGACCTGGGTCCGCAGGGAGCCCAGGGGTTGGGCCGACGACCCTTGCCCCAGCTAGACCACGACAGGAAGGAGGGAGACCTTTGACCCAGATGAGTGGGCAGCAGAAACCCGCTGGGAGAGGGCGTGGTGCTGCTGCCTTTTCCCCGGGGGAGCAGCCCGTGCAGGGTCTGGGGTACTCACCACAGCCACCTTCATCCTGAGAGGGGGCAGAGCTCCACAGGCCCGGGTGCCCGTATATATGCCCACAGGTTACATAAGTGACCGGACACCACCCAGCCCCTTGGCCTTGGCCCTCGGTAATGAGTGACCATCCACCCTCCTCCTGGCCTCTGAGAGTTAATGTGTCAGCACAGAAGCAGCCCCAGCGGCCCGCCCCCCCCCAACCCCCCCACCGCCAGCCAACCTCAGCGTACCTGGAGCAACTGACCTGCCTGGGAGGTCGAGGCTGCTCTGTAGCCAGACTCCCACTCCTGCTTCCCAAGCTTTAAACACCTCCATGCCCCAGGTGGTAGGCCCCTCCCAACACCCTATCATCCCCAGGCACCTGGGATTTGGGGCGGGGCAGAGTGGGGCTTATTTCAGAAAGTCATTTTGACACTTGTTAAAATGGGATAGAAAACTTTATTCACGTTTTCCTAGAAGGGAGAGGTCGGGCTCCACTCTGAACACAGAGTAAATCCCCAGCACAGTCAGCTGGGGATTTACAGCCACCAGGCCGGGCGGGGGCCTGGGCTGGGCTGGGTGGGCAGGGGTCAGGAGAGAAAAGAGCCAGAGGAGAGACATCAAGGGTGGGGGCACTCTTGCTAAACCCCAGGATTCTGTCAAGGGTGTGATTCTTGCTAATTCTGGGCAAGGCTGGAGCCTTGGGCTCACGTTTGGTCCAGGGGGTCTTTGTCGGGCTCTTGGAGTGAGGGCCTCCATCTCGAGTCAGGGCAGAGATGAATTCACAGCACTGGTCATGTGCGGGCTGAGTTAGGCAGTGAGGACACAGCAGGGACCGCACCGCCTGGAGCTGACGGTCCCGTCACTGGAAAGAGGCCGGCACTCTGGCGAAGGACGGGCACTGAGCGCCGTCAGGGTGAGTGGGACGGGAGAGGGCAGTGGGTGAGGTGCGAGGTGCTGGGCACTCCGCGAGGCGCCTCCTGCCCACGCTGAGAATCAACCGGGCCCCACTTAAAACGGCAAAGTGCTCTCGGCCCATGTAAGCCCATAGCGCCTCCAGTTTCCCAGGTGCATGTGCATCCCTCACGCACCGTACTTTTGAGGTTGGTTTCCTCTGCCTCCTCCCACTGGAATCAGTCCCTGTGGGTGGGGGACAGGGTTTATTCGCTGTTTCTACAAGTGCTCAGAAAATATTGGCTGCAAGGTTGTAGAGGGGCCTGGGGAGGTGGGACGGGGGCTGGAACCATGACCCCAAAGCAGGTGGTGGCTTGGACCAAGAGAAGGGACAAAGGGCCAGCCGGTGGATCCAGATGAGGCGGGAGAGGGGCAGCGGGTGGGGGAGCTGGGGGGCTGGGGGGCTGCCACCAGGCCTCCAAGTGGGGTGCCAGATAGGCAGCCAGGACACGGTCTGGAGCTCAGGGGCCATGTGGACCACAGTGCGATGCTGTGACCACGGCAGGCGACCCTAAGGAAAAACAGCCCAAGGCTCAGGCAGCACCTCGGCAAGGGCACCAGGTGGTGCAATCCTGGGGGCCTCCTGGCAGTCTGCGTTGCCACAAGGAGGGTGCAGTGTGGGGTGGTGTTCTGGCCGGGGGAGCATCCCGCGTGGAGAGCCAGACCGCAAGGGACTTTACCCCAGGGCCAGGGCCAGGGAGGATCTGGGCTGAGCTGAGCTCCTGACTCTCCCTGACTCGGCCCTCCTGGAGCCCTCCTCTTCCTTACCCTGCAGTCCCCCTGGCCCTGTGCCATAGCCCACCCTCCCTGCCTGCTCTACACCCCTCGGTGGCCACAGGCTCCCAGCTCTGAGGCCCAGCCTGCCCCCCATCCAGCCCCCACGCACACACCTGTTCCAGCCTCCCCCCACCATCCACGCCTCCCCTGGGCTCAGGGCCTGGGCGCTCTCGGCTCCTCCCCCGGGGCCCCTGCTGTCCTCAGTTCATCTCCCCAGCGGGGCGGGGACCAGCCTGAACTATTCCCACAGGGCCTGGTGGAAGGAAGGTGAGCCCTGAGCTGGAAGAGCAAGCGCAAGGGTGGGAGTACAGATGGCGCTTCCAGGAGCCTCCCGCCCTTAGGGGGCCCCCGGGGATCTGAGGGGCAGGCCTGCCAGCGACCCAGGGTATGGGCTCTGTGGGTGGACACTGCAGGGACCGCAGGCACCTCCCTGATCTCTGGCTGCAGAGCTGGGATAAAGGCATGCTCTCTTCACAGGGTGGCTGAGAGGGTGACATGGCAAACATCGACAAATTAAGTGCTGTATGAACATTTGTTAAATAACGGAAACCACATTTCTGAACCCTTGAGGCATAGGGCGCCAGTACTACAGGACTAGCAAAAGGCTCTGGTGTCACAGCACTTAAAGCCCCTCCCCCTCCCCCGCGGTGGGCGGGGGCGGACGCACACCAAGAACTCCGCCCCCTGGCTGTGGACTTGTTCTGATAATTTGAGGCCAGTCCCCTCCCCCAGGCGCCTGGCAAGCCTGCTCCAGCCTCCTGTTGTCCCCACGCCAGGCAGGATGGGGCTCAGGGAGCCCCTGTGGCCCGCGGGGCCCCAACCCTTGTTGGGCCATCCCTACCCACCTTGAGGTGGTGGTGCTTCTGCCTTAACTGGGAGATTTGCCCCGCCCCACTCCCACCCTGCCCTAGGGAGTGGGAAGGGTGTTCTGCCCTGCTCTGCCCCAGAACCCCTGCACCCTTTCCCCAGCTGCCCTCAGGGCACCCAGGCAGGGAGTCTCCATTGTGACCTTGGGCCCAGCTGGAACAGGGCAGTCCAGCTTTAATCCTACCATGTCAGGACCAGCAGGGAAGAGGCCATGCTGGGCCAACTCCGGGCCCCTCCTCTCTCCTGCTTGCCCAGAGGTGGCCCAGGGTGTTCAGGTCCCTGGCATCTGCCCTACGTGCTTGGGCAGACCCTGTCCTCTAATGCTGCCAACCGCCTCCAAGTGTTACACTCCCCAGGGGCAGAGCCCCTGGGTGTTCAGGATCTGCTGGGTCCACACACGTGCACTGGCTTCTGTGTCCACGGTCATCCGAGGTTGGCTGCTGCAGAACCTGGTGGGGGTAGGGTGGGGCGGGGGTGTCCTCAGGGGCCTGCACCGCTGTTCCAGTGACTGCTCTTTGCAGGAGCTTCGGGGCTAGTTCTGGGCTGGGGGCTCAGCTGCAGCTCTGGGATTAGGGTGCGGCATCCCAGCTGGGACAGGCAGGGGTATGGCCTGCCACGCTTCAGCCGTAGCTGTGTGGGCTGCGGGGGTCCACAGGGGCTGAGTCATGTGGGCCGGCTGAGCCGATAAGCTGCCACAGGCGGTGGCTGAGGTTCTGCACCTGGCAGGTGCCCAGCACACAGCCCACACGCAGGAGCTGGGCTGGGGGCCTGCGGGGACCCAAGTGTCGGCGGGGACCATTCCGGAGAGGCTGACCCATAGCAGGGGCCAGGCTGGCACTCCTCTGGGGCTGGAGGGCCTGGTGCAGCTTCCAGACCACAGGCCGGGCTGCAGGGTGCCGGGACTGCAAGCCACTGGAAGGAGTCCGGGCTGGGGGCTCCCTGCAGAGGGAGATGGAGGAAGTAAGCCCGGCGGGCCAGCCTTTCAGGGACCCATAAACCCACGCACTTTCCCTTCCACACAGGCCTGGGGTCACTGGCAGGGGAAGCCCACTGAGCTCAGGGCTCAGGGCCTGGCCCTCAGCCACTCAGTAGCCCATTTTTACCTGCTCCTCCCTGGGCAAGGGGCAGCCCTGGCTTCTGTGGGCCACTAAACTCAGGACTCAGGTGACTCCCTCTCAGCCCTTCCCTTGGGGTGGGGGGAGGTGGGCGGGCCTGAGGGCCCCTCCAGCCTCCTCTCCCACAGCTGACCTTTCCTTTTGAGGGGTCTACTCTGCCAGTGTCGAGGAGTGGGCATGCCTTAGGAGGACAGGCAGAGAAAGAGGAGCCTCTTGCCCTGCTGGGGGGTTGCTTAAGGCCTGGGGCTGGCCCTTGATCTAGGGGGTGAGCCCCAGCAGCAGGTGGGGGGTTTCCCCAACCAGGGGCTAGAGGGCCTGGGGAGGGGTCGGGGTCGGAGGGAGGCCTCCCCCGAGCACTCTGGTTTCCTGCCCCGGCAGCCAGGGTGGTCTGAGGCCTGCTCACCTGGGTCGCGCGGGCGGCCGGCTCCGGGCCAGGCCGAGGGACAGCGCGCCTGGGAGCTGCAGGTGGAGGAAGCTGATGCAACCGAGGGTGACCGTCAAGAGCCGGACCATGAGGGCGGGGCCGGAGGGGGCAGTGAGCCGGGCAGGTGTTGGGGGCGGCCCTCGGCTGAGCCACCGCTTCTGCCCGCACCTCGGGGCGCGCGGGCGGGCGCCGGTAGGTCGGCGAGGGTCTCCAACACGAAGCGACACGAAGTGGTGCGTGAAGCTCCTCGGTCAGCTGGCGGTCGGGGCCCTGCTGGGGCCTGAGCCTCAGCGCCTCGGGGCTAAATAGTCTTCTAGGGGGGCGGAGCCGGACGCGCCGGCGGGACGGGGCGGGGCGGGGTGCTCCCGCCCGGACCCCAACTCCGCCCGCCGCCCGAAAGAGGGCGGCGGCCGTAGGGAGCGCGGGCGGCTGGCCAGAGACCCCGGCAGGCCAGCCTCACCTCCGCCACCTTCTGGTGGGGGACACCGTCCCTGAGCCCGGAGGGGTAAAGAACTGAATGCTGCGGCGTGCAATCGGCGGGGCTGGGTCCCGCCCGCCACCTCTAGGTCCCAGGGCCTCGCCTCCCGAATGTCCGCGCCAATGAGTGGCAGGGGCCTGGGCAGAGGCGATTTTGAGACCCCTCCTCAAGAGGTCCTAGCAGCTCTATTCCTAAAAACTCTACGCCCCCCCCCCCCCCCCCATTTTTGTCAGAAATTTAAACAAGTAGAAAGTGAGAACCTCTCACTGCCATCCAGTGGATTCCTCTCCCAGGTCCGGATGGCCCCGTTCTTGACTTTCTCTCGTGTGCGTTTTGTTGAGGGGGGTTTGCATCCTGTGTGTGCGCTGTATACAGACACATATGCTTACATACGTAGGTAAAAATATATGTAAATATAGAGACTGCCATTCTTTCTTGTGGTTGATCCTACACCAAAATGTAGGTGTTCTGTGACTTAACTGATCCTTTACTGGGGAGCAATCAGGTGATTTGCAAGCTTTCCAAGAGCAGGAACCCTTCTTCATGAGCTCATGGATGTGTCTCTATAGGATCCTTCTGGCAGAGGTGAGCCCGTGTTTGTGTGGACAGATGGAGCCAAACTGCTCTCCACAAAGCTGATGCCCTGTCCACCGATAACGGACTTGGTGCCGGGGTTCTTCATCTCTGTGTCCCTCTGGGAGGGGACAATTACACCATCACACACTCACACATTCTGGTCATCTGAGCATCTCTGCATCTGCTTGTGTTTCCTCTTCTGTCTTCCCTGCTCCGGTCCTGCCCCCTCTTAGCGGGTCATCATGAGTGACCTGGTCACTCTCCGTCCCTCTTTCTGCACACGCCGTGGGAGCTCAGCAAACATTAGCAGGATGAATAAATCAACAAGTGGTGACCACCTGCCATGGTAAAGAGCAGTAGGGTTTATTTATTTTTTTTATTTTTAGGGTTTATTTATTTTTTTATTTTTACCGAAAGGAGGGTGGGTGATGTGATCACATTTATACTAGAAAAGTGGAATTCAGCAGGGAGGTGGGTGCTGAAGGGCTGGTAGGAAGGGTGCAGTGGGGACAGAGAGAATGGGTCAGAGAAACAGAGCAGAGCAGGGGGGCAGATGAGGAGGGTCAGCCTACCCATCTGTTTGCTGATGCAGGGAGAGTGGGGGGAGGGGTTAGCTACCTGGGGGACATCCCGGCGGGGATGTCTTGCTGGCCTCCAGCGTCCTGGGCCTGGGGCTGAAGAGAAGGCAGCCCTGGAACACAGTCTGGGGAGTTTTGGAGCTGGCAAGGCTCTGAGAGGTGAGGAGTGTGGTGACCATCTCCCACAGACAGTGAAGAGAGAGGACAGAACCCGGCGTGGGAAGAGGGGCAGGCAAGGGGCCCCAGGGGTGGACCCGGTTCTGCAGCTGCTGCTTCTCCCACCAGCACCCCCATCCTCCCTCAATCTGCCTTCCACAGTGCTGCCAGTACCGTCTTTCCAAAACACATGTGACCGTATCACTCACCCCACCAATAAGGAAGAAATAGATAAAAATTCGCAGTCTCTTAGGCCCTCGGCCACTGCACTCTTTCTCTCAGAACACTGGCTGCCACCACAGGCCTAGGGTCTCATTTCCCCGACAGCTCACAGGCAGGGTGTCCTCTGGCCTCAGGCTCCAGCCTGGGAGCTTATTTCACCCCTATCCCTCTTGACTGGATCAGAGACCCCCTGTGATCCCACAGCCCCTGCACAGCACAGCTCGTGGCACTTGTGGTCTGTAACTGTCCACGTGCCCCCCAAGGGGAAGTCCACGGGCTTCCCCCACTGATCCTCGGTGGAGGAACCGCTTCTGCGGAGCCACTCAGAGCACCGCTCACCCATGGAAACACACAAGAAGCAGACCAGAGGTTCCCCTGGAGGAATGCTTTAGAGAGAAATCATCGTGGAGCAGGAAAAGCGACGGTGGCAATTGGCTGGGCAGACAGCATCTAGGGAGGTTTTGCTTGAGTGTTTTAAGGTGGGAGAGACTGAGTTTAATCCCGATGGCGAGCATCCACAGAGAGGGAAAGATTGAGGATGGGGGTACCTAGCAAACAGCCAGAGGTGGGGAGGGGGCAGGAGGGGCAGAGCCTTTGTGGTCGCTGTGGAGGGGGAGGCGGGGGTGAGGGAGGCAGATTTGGGGTGATGCAAGTCTGTTTTCTCTGTGAAGGAGGACAGTGGGGTCATTTCTGAGACACGGGAAGGGGGTCAGAGGAGACTGCAGAGAGAACAGAGCTGACCAGATGTCAGCAGGCTGGGCAGTGGTGAGAGTGCATCCACAGCTGGGGCCGCGGTGTCACTGTGGCTACTCTGCACCAGCTGGCGCTGCAGGCCTCGAGGAGACAGATGGGCAGGACTGTGCGTGGCTGGGGTTTGCCAGGTGAGGACAGTGAAAACTGTCCGGGGCGGGGGGCAACGATGTTGGCAGGATGACAGGTGACTGGAGCCACACTGAGAGGAAGCAGGCAGCAGCGAGTGCCTCTGAGGGTAACATGGACAGTGTGGTAGCAAGGAACTTGAGTGGGGCTATCATGGTCTAGAAGTGACCCCAAACCTACCCTTGACCCTAAGGTGCTCAAGGAATGGGCTCCTTGCAAGGAGGGCATGAGAGTGGAAGAAAATGGAGTGCAGGGTCCCCACCATCTCTGTGGAAGACCCAGCCCTGGGCTCATGTGCTAGGCCAGAGGGCTTCCCTGGGACACTGCCTGCCCGTGCACAAGCTCAGTGGTGTGGTAATGTGGCGGTGAGGACCTTTTTGCGTGTAAGTGACAAAAGCCAACTCAAGACAGGTGGGGCAGAAAGGAGGGGTTCTCAGCCCATCTACGCAGTACCGTACAGAAGCAGAGGAGGCTGTGGCTGGGCATGTGCCCGGGGCAGGGAGGGGAGCCTGGCAGTCTAACCCCTCAGCGCTTTTCTCTGGGTTGTGTTCCACTCACTCTCCAGGCGGGCCCCTGCGAGGGGGTGGAGGAGGAACGCCAGCAGTTTGTTTCTTCGTAGGTTCTTGAAGCAGAGCCAAAGTCACCCCCAAACAAGTTCAACCCTGCCTTCCCCTCCCAGCCTGTCAGCGAGCAGCCCTGAGGCTGCCCCTCTCCCCACCCCCATCTCCTCTCCTAGCGTGTTCTGCCCTAGACTCTGTGTCCCCCTTGCCCATCCCTGTGTCACTGCGGGGGAGGCCCTGGCCGGCCCCGGCCCTGAGGGTGGTGGGCACTGTCAGGGACCCTGAGTGGTGCAGCCTTCTCCCAAGCAGCGCACCCAGGCCCCGGCGCCTCACGGCCTAGTACGCGGCTCTTTACAGCAGGACGTGCAGCGCGCCTTTTAAAACGTATATGTGTTAAAAATAAATAAATGAATGAACGAATGAACGAATAAATAAATAGAAATTAAAAACATAAAAGTACATGTGTTAAGCGTTTCACCTCACTTAGACTGGGCTTCCAAGTGGGGCCAGAGCCCTCCTCAGGCTGGGAACCCCAAGGGTAGGGCCTGGGTGGGTACTCCCCCCTATCACCAGGCTGGCAGCCCCAGGGGATGGCTTAGGGCCCCAGTTTGGGAGACCTGTGGGTAGGGCCGGGCCTTCCAGCCTTCCTGCAGACTGACAGCGCCGGGGTAGAAAGCTCCGGGAGCCGCGCGGACTCCAGACGGAGCTCCCAGAGGCGGGGCCCGACCCTTCTCCGCCCTGCGTGGGAGCCGCGACGGCGAGGCGCGCTCTGACCCGCCCGAGCCGCCGTCGCTGTCACCGCTTGAGGGTGGTGAGCGGCTGAATCCCGCCCCCGGGAACCGAGCCCGCGCCGCTGGTCCAATGAAGGAGCTTCGCTCCGGACCCCGCCCACGGAGGGGCGGAGCGAGGCCGCGCAGGCGCACGGCGCGGCCGGGCGGGCCGGCTGGCTGGGAAGATGGCGGCTGGAGCCCTGGCAGCCGCGGTGGAGCGGGCCCGAGGCGTCCGGGGTTCGCGGACCAGGGCCGGGGCCGGGCCATGAGAGCGCCGTCCTCGCGTCCCCGAGCCGCGGAGCCCGCCCGCGCCCCTCGCCATGGCGCGGCTCGCGGACTACTTCGTGCTGGTGGCGTTCGGGCCGCACCCGCGCGGTGAGTGCCGGCGCGCGGCCGAGGGCTGAGGGCCGGGGATCGGGAGCCGGGAAGGGTCAGCCGGGGCGGCGGGGCAGCCCCAGGGTCAGCCGGGCACCTGCCGCCCTGGTTCGGGGTCCGGGGTCGGGGGTCACGGAGGGCCGACCTCCCCGAGGTGGGCAGCGCGGCGAGACGGGGCGGGCCGAGATTGCCCACCCCAGTCAGGGCAGAACCGGGCCGACAGCGCCTCGGCGTCGCCCCGGAGGTGGGAGGGCCCTGGGGCGGCTCGGCCTCCCGACTCCCAGTTGGGTGGGATGGGCTCTCTCTGCTTTGGCGGACTGCCGGGCGGCTCTGCTTCCAGGGGCACGGAACGTTCACTTGCAAGCCCCTCCTCTGACCCCCAGTGCCTCTGGTCTGGAGCCTCCGGCCCCTGTGCCGTGTCTCGGGTACAGGAGGCTGGGGAGCATGCAGAAGAGGGCTGGGGTTCAGGGACTACTGCTTGAAGAGGTGGTGTTT